ATAATATACAACTTTATTGATCCCCTGGGGGAAGCTCACAAGCCACCCAGCAAAAGTTCTTAAAATGAGCTCATCTGGAAATAAATCTGATGTTGGTTTGATTGACAGGAGGCCATTGCTGCCCAGTCCTTCTATCAGCCAATCAGAACCATCCAGAATGGCGACCTGGAGGCGGGGTTTAAACAGGCCGACCACATCCTGGAGGGTAAGACTGTCTGTGTGTGACTTCCTCCTGATTCCAGCTGGACAGGTATTGATTACTGATTATTGATGAATTATCTGACAGGTGAGATGCACATTGGAGGTCAGGAACATTTCTACCTGGAGACAAACGTCACTCTGGCTGTTCCTCGAGGAGAAGACGGAGAGATGGAGCTCTTTGTTTCTACTCAGTGTGCTTCAAAAACACAGGTAACAATACTCTAATCACAGATAACAATACTCCAAATCACAGGTAAAAATACTCTAAACACAGGTAACAATACTCTTAAACACAGGTAACAATCCATATATGCAGTATATAGAATATATAAATCTTGTTTTCTGTCCGTGTCAGTCTCTGGTGGCCAAGGCGTTGGGCGTCCCTGCTAACAGGGTGGTGGTCCGGGTGAAGAGGATGGGTGGAGGCTTTGGGGGGAAGGAGTCCCGAACCACTGTGTTGTCCACTGTGGTCGCCGTGGCAGCAAACAAGTAGGTCTGGAAATCATGTTTGGTTACTTAGCTGTCTTTTTGTTGTCTAACTATTTTCTGCTTTCTTTTGTCAGGCTGAAGAGACCCGTGAGGTGCATGTTGGACAGAGATGAGGACATGTTGGTGACGGGAGGAAGACACCCCTTCTTTGGGAAATACAAGGTGGGAGGAGCCTCCAGCTGTAGTGCTAGCACCAGTAAAAGGAGTTTGACCTGCAGGGTGTTTGCTTTGTTCTGATTCAGGGACTAATGTGACGCTCAGCATTTCCAAAAATCAACCTACTGTTGTATTTTGATCCCTCGGGTTGTTGTAGCTTCACTCGTGAGTCTCCCACATCTGTAATCATTACTTCTGCTCCAGGTGGGTTTTCTAAACAGCGGGAAGGTCGTGGCTTTGGACGTGTCGTACTACAGCAACGCTGGAAACTCCATGGACCTCTCTTTGTCGGTGAGTATCGTTTACAAACAACGTGCCTCTCTTTGCTGACGACATGCTGATGTTTTTCACCGATGTGTGCCGCCGTGTTGAAGGTCATGGAGCGCGCTTTGTTCCACATGGAGAACTCATACAGCGTGGCCAACGTGCGCGGCCGCGGCTTCCTGTGCCGCACCAACCTGCCGTCCAACACGGCCTTCAGGGGCTTCGGAGGGCCGCAAGCCATGATGGTCGCCGAGAGCTGGATAACCGATGTGGCTCAGAGTCTGGGCAGGCCGGCCGATGAGGTACATAGCTGGATGAATATAAAGTCAGACGTCATGAGCAGTGTACAGTCAGTGACCCTGTCTTCCCTGCAGGTGCGCCGGTTGAATCTGTATGTGGAAGGTGAGTTGACGCCCTACAACCAGATCCTGAATCAATTCACCCTGGACCGCTGCTGGGACGAGTGTCTGTCCCGCTCTGGATACCAGCAGTGTCGAGCCGCCGTCGACCTTTACAACAGGTAATCTGAGTATAGTGTTGAGTCCTTCAACAAGTAACACAGTCCAGTTTAAGGTCTCAAGACTTTGTGATGGGTCCTACAACAGCTAAAGGTCTCGAGACTTTGTCGAGTTTTATGACGGTACCAAAATATCCAAATAAGTTTCTGTTCTTTTCTGTCAGGCAGAACCGGTGGACCAAACGAGGCCTCGCCATTGTCCCCACCAAGTTCGGCATTGGCTTCACTACCTTCTTCCTCAACCAGGTCTGATCCAACAACACCGACTAACAAACCGTTAAAAGACTGAAGGAATGTAGAACATTTGGGTTTTGTGACGTCATGAATTTGCTTTAGTCCATGTTTCTCTGTGCGTCTGCAGGCCGGAGCTCTGGTTCATATCTACACCGATGGCTCGGTGTTGTTGACCCACGGAGGGACGGAGATGGGACAAGGACTCCACACCAAGATGGTCCAGGTACCTGAACTAATCAGACCACTACGCACACTGAACAGTAAAGGGGCCCAATATGAGACCTTGGGGGACTCCAATGTTGTCCTAACAAGCTGTGTCTGTTGGTCCAGGTTGCCAGCAGGGTTCTGGGTATCCCCTGTTCAAAGATCCACATCTCAGAGACCAGCACCAGCATGGTCCCCAACACCAGCCCCACCGCTGCCTCCGCATCCTCGGACCTCAACGGGGCCGCCGTGCAGAACGCCTGTGAGATCCTCGAGAAACGCCTGGAGCCCTACAAGACCCAGAACCCCAAAGGATCATGGGAAGACTGGGTGAGCAAGAGCAGGAGTACTTTATCCTGTTTGTCCACATTATAGTCTGTCAGGAGTAAGTCTCCTCACTATAGTTCTGTGTTCCAGGTGAGAGCAGCGTATTTTGACAGAGTCAACCTCAGTGCAAACGGTTTCTACAAGTAAGTCACCTGTTCAGTAAATGTGTTGATTCTATAAGATCCAGGATGGAGTTTCACTGTTTCTTGTTTTCTTATCAGGACTCCAGATCTTTGTTACGACTTTGACTCAAACTCGGGCCGAGCGTTCAACTACTTCACCTACGGAGTGGGCTGTTCAGAGGTGGAGATCGACTGTCTGACCGGAGCTCATAAGGTGGGAACACTGAGTGGGAGCACTGAGACGGACAAAGTATAATATATATATACATAGAGTTCTGACTGTAAAGGTGTCCCACAAGGATCCACATCAAGCCCCCTGTTATTACCTCTCCAGTATTTTACTTATTACACCTCTATGCTGACGATACCATCTTGTATGTGAACATCTTGTCTTTCAACAAGATGTTCCAAAAACCAGAAGTTAGACATGTGTTTTGTTTTATATCATGTTTAATAAATATGTTTATTTGTGTTGTAGAACCTGAGTAGCACCATAGTGATGGACGTCGGTCACAGCCTCAACCCGGCTATTGACATCGGACAGGTGAGTCGACCGATGCGTTGGTAATTGCACTTTCTTTTGACCTTTCCTGTAGCGCCTCCTTCAGGTCAAAGTGTCCTCCCTGTGTCTCCTCAGGTGGAGGGGGCGTTCGTTCAGGGTCTGGGTCTCTTCACCATGGAGGAGCTGCATTATTCGCCCCAGGGCGTCCTCCTCACTCGGGGTCCCGGTTCTTATAAGATCCCCGCTTTTGGTGACATTCCCACCCGGCTCACCGTCTCGCTGCTCCGGGACGCACCTAACGACAAGGCCATCTTCTCCTCCAAGGTCTTGACCCCGAACACTCCTCAGAACTATTGAAACAGAACCACTACAGACATTTGAATTCATATCTTTTCTCCCCAGGCTGTCGGTGAGCCTCCTCTCTTTCTGGCCGCGGCGAATTTCTATGCCATCAAAGACGCCATCACCGCTGCCCGGGGGGAGTCGGGCATCAGTGGTCCCTTCAGGCTGGACAGCCCCGCCTCCACCGAGAGGATCCGCAACGCCTGCATCGACAGATTCACCAAACTGGTAGGAAAAGATCTCACTGGTATTTAGAGACGTTTCTCGGGGAGAACTGAGCACAGATGCTGGGAAAAACAATTCTTCATGGTGCCTGTTGTCTAAAATATCTGAATATACTGGAACCAACAGGCCGAAAACTCAAGTTAACATACCAACTGTTATTCTTTTTTCAGTGTCCTCCTGCAGAACCTGGGACCTTCATCCCCTGGTCTGTACAAGTCTAGGACCAGAGACACAGGAAACCACCACTGATGGAGAACCACTAAAATACCGAAGCACAATCATTAAATGTCACTAACTGATTAGGACTTGATTAACAGTTGATGATGTTGGTAAAGATGCTCCTGTTTAATACGTTTACACTTTAATTAACACTGTTAGCTATCAGGTAGCATAATATCTTCCGTAAAGGACACAGTTATTTCAGCTGAGGTCAGCTAATAGTAATCATTAGATATATAATAAGTGTTCACATCAAAATGAAGTATGATGCGAGTCAGATTTGGATTAATGATCACTGTACAATGTTCTATAGAATTATTGCACTGTATGAATGAAAAAAATAAAGCACATTTTGCTGGATGTTTATTCACATGACAGTTAGTAAAGCTGATTATAGCTAAATATAAACTCTTTAAAACAACAAGGGTGGAACAAAGGATGCTAGTGAGAACACGGGACTCTAGTGAGAACACGGGACGCTGGTGAGAACACGGGACGCTGGTGAGAACACGGGACTCTAGTGAGAACACGGGACTCGAGTGAGAACACGGGACGCTAGTGAGAACACCGGACTCCAGTGAGAACACGGGACTACAGAGTTAAATTCACACAGAGTTCTAAAGAGAGTGATCAGGGGTGGGGGGGTCCGTCTACTGGAATCCTGTTTCAGGCTGTGCAGTTAAAGAAGTATAAGAAGAGCTTTATCTGTGTAACAACAGACACACAGACATATTCGTTTTATCCTTAAGGCATAGAACATGTGAATATACAATAAGTACTTGTTATCCAACACACAGAAGAGGATAAGTGTGCAGGCAGTCAGCTGCATCACAAGTTACATGATGCAAGCTTATGATAGCTTGTTGGAAAACAAGTTATAAAACAGTTTACTTATAAGAATATAAAATACTTGATAATATTGAAATACTGCTAACATTAGTTAACCCCTGCTGATGAATTATCTTGATTGTTTTCAACATTTTGTCGTCCTGAATAGTGGCCGAGCCCAGAATGCTAACAAACCACAAAAATGTAAACTGATGTATTTTGTCTATGACGATCAACACTAACTGATTATTGATAACTGATTATTACCAGATGATGAAAACTGAGCATTTTAATGGGATGTTTGTGTTGGAGATCTTGTATCTGCGCTTGTTGAATAAAAGGTTTAATCAGCCACACATGATGCTGTAAGTGTTGTAGGATTTGGACAAACTTTATTAGCATTGTCTACATAACAGGAAGTGTTATTTTAGTCGTCGTTTTTTCCCGTCTTGTCGATGATCTTCCTCATCCACCTGGTCATCCTGAACACGTGAGTGTAGAAGCCGTACTTTCCATCTCGGTCGCAGCCTTCGCCCCACGACACGATGCCCATCTGGTACCAGCGGTCCTCAGCCGGGTACTGATCACACAGAACAAGTCCATCTTATGAACTGTTAATATACTGAATGCTTAAACAGAAGATGATGCTCACCTTCATGACAAACGGTCCACCGCTGTCTCCCTCACAGGCGTCTCCACGTTTGGCGTCCTCTTGATGGTGACCTGCGACAGAAACGGTGTTGAGCTAAATGCTAACATGCTAATTTTCGTGTGATCCATCCAATCACTGTTGAGTTATTTCAGCTTGAAGCAACACGTTGGACCAACAATCATCGAAAGAATAAACGTAGAAATAGAAACGTACCAGCACAGAACATGTTGTCGGTGACCTTGACCGACGTGGAGCTGCGGCAGGTGTCGTGGTCTACGATCGGCAGGTGGATTTGCTGGAGCACTTTGGGTAGATTTCTTGCCGAGGGGCTCCAGGTTTCCTTCAGGTTCCCCCAACCGGTGACTCGACCTTTGTAGCCTTCGGTCATGAGACTGTTGGAGGAAACACGAGATGATTCTAGGGAGTCTAAACACGGAGGTTTTGGACAGTTGGGTCTGTTCTGTGCTGGTCTTACTTCACAGCCACCTTCCTGGTGGGGAGGCAGATCGGGTGGATCGCGTCGCTGAAGACCAACGGACGTCTCAGGTGCAGCAGGGCGATGTCCCGGTTCAGGTTCTCCTTCCAGTTGTACCTCGGGTGGACGATGATTTCGCTGATGGCCACGATCTTCTCGACACCACGCTCGAACCTGGAACAAAATCCTGGTGAGTATTCTCTCGTTCTAACATTCGTTCATACCTGCAGGCAGGAGGTCTTACGTGGCCCGGTTGTGTTTCCCGAGTCGGACCAGGATGTCGCCGGCGGTGAAGTTCTTGTTCCAGGGCGGGTAGAGGATGCAGTGAGCGGCAGTGAGGATCCATTGGTCGCTGATCAGACTGGCTCCACACAGCAGCTCCTGGGGGCTCCTCTTGTACAGCATCACCTGCCTGCAGGACGGGAACCAGGAAGCAGGTGAGTCATGTGATCAAGTGGTGTTGTTACCACGGTGACGGCTTATTGTTTGGTTACCATGGTGCTGAGGCCACTTCGGCGTCGTTTCCCCCGACGATGCGTTTCTCTCTGTACGACTCCAGCAGCTCGTCCTCATTCGCGTCCTTTTTGTTCAGCTTTTCAAACAGGGAGCGTTCTCCACACACTGTAAACCAGTCAGTAAACCTGTTAACTAACCAGTTAACTAACCAGTAAACCAAGCAATAAGCCAGTAGACAATTTAACTAACCATGTTGTCAACCAGACATTAAACAAGTTAAACTAATCAATAAACCAGTAAGAGATCCATTTATTTGCCTATTTAACCAGTCAGTGAATCGTCAGTCAAAACATATGTCAGCTGGTTAGTTAGCTGGTTAGTTCGGGAGTCAGACAGCTAGTTAATCTGTAGTTATTGATCATCACTCACCACTCTCTCCTTGTCCGAAGGTTCGAGGACTGAAGAACATTTTCTTGGGGGCTCTGAGGACGGATCGTTCTCGACCTTCTGTCTCCGTCGTCTGATGGTCCTCAACCAGCGGGTCCTCTGGGACATAGACACAGACAGGTAACAGGTAGGTACACCTGAGTAGTACTCTTTCGTAGTACTGGTACTCTTTAGTAGTACTTACCACACAGCTCCAGGTCGCAGTAGTCCATGGTCACGTTTCCAGAGACCTCAACGTAGCACCAGGGGCCCTCGGGGTCCTTGTCCGGGTTCCGGCACTTGTTTCCTGGCAGACTGACCTCGGGGATGAAGTCCTTGTCCACGCTGAGGGCCTTGGCCTCCAGAGAGGACCACTGAAGACACGTGTGTCCTCCCAGGGTCACGGCCAGGTCGCCCGTGTACTCCAGGCCATGATTGGGTAAACATTGGCCGGTTTTGATTGGTTCAGGGGCCACAGTGGGCGGGACAAAGTCCTGGCCTTCAAGGAAAAGACCATGTTTAGTAATCTAGTCCAGAAAGTCTTGGACCACATGATGTTAGTAGTAGTATGATGAAGGACTGTGGTGTACTAGCAGCTACTTGCCACATGTGGGGACCCTGCAGGTCTCCTTCTGGACTGTGGGGTCTTTGGTGAAACACCAGGGTCCCTCTGTACGGCTGTCCGGGTTTCTACAGAAGTTCTCCTGCAGGACGCTGTTTGGATCTGAAGCGTTGAACTCTCTGAAGACAGGCAGACAGACGGGTACTAACTAGTAACTAGTCAATGGATCATAGTTTACTACTCACTGTGTTTCATTAACTCATACAACTAGTTACTGATCTTGTTCTTAAGTTTTTACATTTTATAAATCAAGTTTAGTTAGTGAGTTAGATTTGTTTATTAGTTTGTTGTTTATTGGCTAGTTAGTTGGTTAGTTGGTTGGTTAGTTAGTTGGTTAGTCGGTTGGTTGGTTAGTTGGTTGGTTAGTTGGTTGCTTGGTTACCTGATTATGGGATGTGGGTAGCTGCTCCTCCAGGCTTGACATTGTCTTCCTGATTGTGTGATGTTGATGTTTCCTTCATAGTTCACTCCTGAACCAGAGATACACTGACCTACACACACACACACAGGTTGTCAGTGTAACTGTATATTTATTTTCTAAGAACTTTTTAACATTTAAAGTTTATTTACCTTCTAAACATTGTCTCACAATGTTGATGTTGTCTTCTGTTCTTATCATCTGAGTTCCTTTACAGTCTGAGAGACAGACAGACAGACAGACAGACAGACAGACAGGTAGTGACATGTTTTGTACTCAGGTTGTGTACTTGTGATCTGTCCTGGACTTTGTTCCTGTTTGCAGAACAGAACGTCTGAATAAACTTCACATTTGAAGTGAAAGTATATAACTGTTGTAATTCTACACAGTAAAATAAGTTATACATTAACAGAACAAAGTTTTTATTGATGTGAGGAGAAGCTGAGTCACTCACCCTGATACTTCATCCAGAAGTTCTTCTGCAGAGAACAGAGTTCCTGGTTAGACTGAGTACTGTTACTACGGAGTACTACTGCTACAAGTACTGTTACTACGGAGTACTACTGCTACAAGTACTGTTATTACTGAGTACTACTGCTACAAGTACTGTTACTACTGAGTACTGTTACTACTAATACTTTTATTACTAATACTGTTATTACTAGTACTGTTACTACTAATATTGTTACTACTAGTACTGTTATTACTAACGCTGTTATTACTAGTACTGTTATTACTAACACTGTTTATTACTAACAGTGTTAGTAATAATACTGTTATTACTAACACTGTTATTACTAGTACTGTTATTACTAACACTGTTACTACTAGTACTGTTATTATTAACACTGTTATTACTAGTACTGTTACTACAATGCAGTGAATGAAAGAGAACAAAATGGCGTCGCACCGTTTCATCCATCTGTTCGAACACCTCTCTGGCTTCTTCATGGTCACAGATCTCTTCTACACATTCTCTCTCCAGGTTACCTGACAGGAAGTAACACATGTCCATAACAACAACAATAGTAATAATAATGATAACTATACAACAGTAATAAGAACAATGGTGAGAGACATTAATAACAATAATTATAATAAAAACAGGACACAGTGGTTCCCAACCTTAGGTCGGGGCCCTTTAACGGTCCATTTGTGGAAAAAGTACTCTGAACTTCTACTAATCAGAATCTTAAGTTTAAAAGTATGAGCATAAAATATACTTCAAGTACCTAAAGTAAAAGTACTCATGAAGCAGAATGTTGTAGAATAAATGAAAATGTTTTCTTGACTTTACTTCTTGTGAGTTTAAATATAAATATATTTACTGCTCATAAAGTACAACGTGTGACTCACCTGGTTGAGTTTATATCTAAATGTATTTATGTATATATATATTTTTATATATATATTGCCTCACCTGGTTTAATCTCCTCAAACAGCTGATTGGCTCTACGGTTCCTGACCAGCAGCTGATTGGCCCGCTGGCTGTGGAGGAAAACTACACACGATAAAACCTTTACAGTTATTATGAAGCTCAAAAGTACTCTTATAACATAAATATACTCCGTGTACTGTAGGGTGTAGTACCTGCAGTAACAGTACTACACATTTAAATCCAGATACTTGTGTATTTATACATCCTGAACTCGTTTCTTTATCGACTGCTGTTACTGGAAAAAGGTTCAATCTAAACCTGGAGTATTATGAGTATTTATGCTACTGGTACTTGAAGGACTCATTGTAGTATTGATAGTAGTATTTGTACCTTGGTCTGCCAGGCAGCTGTGCAGCAGAAACAGCAGCAGAACAGCAGCTGGTTTCAGTCTTGTCTCCATGATCCAGATCCTCAACAAGCAGCACCTCAGAACCTCAGAACCAGATCCTCAGAACCAGAACCCGATCCAGCAGAGTTGGTCTTCAGAGTGTATCTCTGTCCCGTCTGTCTCCTCTGTGAGGTGACTGACCAGAGGGTCAAAGTGTCATTTCAACATGTTTACTTTGACTCAGTACTCTGGAGGATACAAGTACACAACGAGCAGTAGTACAACGTGGTAATACTCACGATTATCAAGATGTATTTATCAAGATGAGGAAGTTATACGAGTATTGTTATTATGATTGTCATTTTCTTCTTCTTGTTATTATTACTAGTTTGAATTCATTATTGTATGAATTATAATATATTTATTTTCATTTAGTTAATTTAGTTAATTTCTTTGGTGAAGTCTGTCTGTTATTAATGTGATTATGAACTAGTAACTCTTTCTGTGTACAGCCCAGAGGACCGGTGTTACAGTGACAGCGGTCCTCTGGCTGCACTGACCCGTGAACTTTAGTTCCTCGTGTGTTTGAGAAGACGTCAGCTGAGTAAAGAACAGGAGCTGATCTCAGGTCAGAGCTCAGGCTTCAGGCCTTAAAAGGGAATCAAGTCAACAAACAGCAAATATTGACTCATACTGAAGTACAAGTAGTACTACCTCTGAGGAAATACTTCATCAAAACACACTTAAATCAAGAAATGTAAAAGCCCTCCTGTCTGTGTGTGAGTCTGTCTGTCTGTCTTTGTGTGTATCTGTGTGTGTGTGTGTCTGTCTTTGTGTGTGTCTGTCTGTCTGTGTGTGTGTGTGTCTGTCTGTCTGTCTGTCTGTGTGTGTGTGTCTGTCTTTGTGTGTGTCTGTCTGTCTTTGTGTGTCTGTCTGTGTGTGTGTCTGTCTGTGTCTGTCTGATGTTCAGCTCCCACTTGAGGTCCTGGGATATGATGGAGGAAGCAGAAGGACTCCATCGCGTCGACGGGGGAGTCACACACAGTGATAGGGGGAGTCACACAGGGTGATAGAGGGAGTCACACAGGGTGATAGAGGGAGTCACACACAGTGATAGAGGGAGTCACACAGTGAGATAGAGGGAGTCACACAGGGAGATAGAGGGAGTCACACAGGGTGATAGGGGGAGTCACACACAGTGATAGGGGGAGTCACACAGGGTGATAGAGGGAGTCACACAGGGAGATAGAGGGAGTCACATACAGTGATAGGGGGAGTCACACAGGGAGATAGAGGGAGTCACACACAGTGATAGAGGGAGTCACACAGGGAGATAGAGGGAGTCACACACAGTGATAGGGGGAGTCACACAGGGTGATAGAGGGAGTCACACACAGTGATAGGGGGAGTCACACAGTGATAGGGGGAGTCACACACAGTGATAGGGGGAGTCACACAGGG